CTCAGTACTTCTGCAGTTTTCTAGGTCAACTCAACGGCTTTATTTAAAGTAAAAACTACCTGTTTTTTTTTTCTTTTTAAGTGTATCTATATAGACAGGCACGCATTAAGTTGCTTCGTGTAGTGTAGATACGGCCCTCACGACTGGACTTAATTCTAAAGGTAATGATCTACAACTCGGCTCTCTGCGTTTGTCGGGATGGGCGCAAAGATATCTTCAAAGCCCGGAGCAGATGCCACACGCCGTGTTACAAATCACTTTACTTCTATTACATCCTGAAATCAAAGTCCCACATCCTCGCAGGAAAACCCTCTCGCCTATCCAGCGCCAAGACCAGCTCGGGGTTCCCACTTACATCGCATTCGGGAGAACTTAGGCGAGATTCACCATCAAAGGCAAGAGCAGATGGGGGTGAAACCGGTGGAAATCACGTTTGTTTCATGTCTTCTTGCAATTAAAATCTGCTGCCCTTGATCGGCCCACGCGGGCTGTCTGCAGAAGCTTCTTTTGTTGTCTACTTAATGACTGAAGCCTTTAGAAGGCTCTCCGTGGCCCCATCTGTTAGCCACAGTTAATATCATACGCTCGTCTTTGTTACAGCACATGTTATTTGGTGAATAGAAAAAGGCGGCAAGATCCAAAACGGTTTAATCTCCTGTTGTATCTGACAGCGTACGCCAGGACGCCAAACGGCCGCTCGGTCTCTAAATTGTTCTGTTGCGCAGATTCAGTTCACAGCACCACTGGCTTTCTAACCCTAGCTAACCGGTTATAACGTCATTTTAATTGCAAAAGTTCTTCCATTGCGTTTATACATTTTGTATTATTCTTCACAATATAATGGCTGTTTTTGGCATTTTGCTAAGAATATCTAAGAATATGTTATGATATCTTTTCCATTTTTTAAGGTCAGTTGCCCTATATACTATAAATAGCAACTATGAATGTTGAAAATATTGACGTTACCAAGCCCAGAAGCTCAAAATTTTAATCTCATATATGATAATCTTGTACTTTGGATTTTCGATTTAAGACAAGCTGCGTTCCATTGAGGATTATAGTAATTAAAGGCAGGATAGAGATTTTCTTGCCAATTCAGTAATCGCCATGTTTCCGTTTAATAGCACAAAATGTTATTTAATCTTTAAGTAATTTCGTACCATGAACAAAGTTTTTTGAGATTTTTTTTTATAATTACCACACCTACTATATCTTCTACAATGACAAAATAACGTTTGCAATGAGTAACCAACACTTAGTATTTACACTTCAAGTACGGCTATCTAAAGATAGCCTTTTCACACAAACTGTCCCAAAATGTAGAATAACCGTTTAGATACTTTACGACCACTGCTGGTGTGTGTAACAGATCCCATGTTCTACATGGCGACATATGGCCGAGTACTGGTGATCAACAATACCCTCATTCTCTGGACAGGCTCAAAGATTAATTATTCACAATGCGGTGAGCAAGGAATAAACGCCCATATCATTGTCCGCGATCACCCAACTAAATGGTTAAAGTTCGCCGGAGTTAATATATGCCCGGGGGAGTTTTCTTGGAAAAGAAAGAACACAAAACCATCTCGTTTAGAGTTGGGAGGGATGGAGTCTAAAAGGTCACGTGCCACACACGACAGTGGCCGGCGGGGGCCTGTCGAACCGCTTTGTTAGACATGGGTTAATACCCCAGACACAATAGACCGGCAGGCGTTAGGCTTTTTCCCCGCTACCGCTGCCTCGCGCCTCGGTATTGAGTTTCACTTTGGACTACAAGGTTTCATCATTGGGTACATACGCCATATGTTTGCCGCGCGACATCACCACACGTCTGACTGCGTTTATTTGATTTGACGCGAACAAAACACCATTCCGTGAGACAAGCGTCCCGACGTGTAATTTTATATCTCTCTATCTGTCACATCATACACAAACACACAAGAAATACGGTGTAACCTTCTAATAGTGGAACAAAGAAAGCACATAAAGCTATAAACTATAAACCCTCTTCCGTCATCGCTTTGATATCTCAACATCGGGGATGTTCGCTCCAAAACATACGCTTTATTGTTCTAAATACATCATAGACCCAATGGATCATTCCGTACCTCCTCTTATATATATAGTCTTAGTCACATCAATCGTATGACAGACTTACAGCAGCAAATTTGGGAATCTTGAGACAGTCGTGGGGGGCAAAACATACAGCTGTTTTCTTTGCGGAACCGGTAGTCGTAAATCCTTGTCGACTGTCGGTTGTGTCATCGCCTGGCTGAACATCGTACGACAAAAAAAATCGTCCAACATGTGTGGCCGCGTTTTTTGTTCGTCCTATCTGTAGTGATTGACAGGACTTTATTGCACAGCAGTCCGCAGCCAAGGACACAGGTTGAGCAATACATAAACTTTCCTCATCACCAGAGAACGGTGAAACCAATGAGCTATGGCTATAGTATATACACAAATAGAATGCATTAACCATGAACTGTTAACCATAGTTAACATTGTTGCTATTAATCAAAAGGAAAAGCCGCACCGTTTGTCTATTCTTTAAGATGAACGAATCTTTGACAATGATAAATGCGACTGATATTATTAACCACGGAAAAAGATAATACTTAAAACAAACGTTTAGGTAAATAAGAGTCAAAGAATGGTATACAAACAAAGAATTGGAGTCTATAACGTGAATAGTTGCTGATGGATTGGTTATATAATATTCATTGTTACCTATTTCGTTCGACATCGATCATCAATTAAAGTAAGATTTGTGGACGTTAAAAATACTTGGCGAAACGTCTTCTAATTTTATTTTGAAGATCAATGGACAAAACATTCCTCACTACGGACACAAGTATTGGGTAGACTGGCGGTAGAATACCAGGTGTCATGGCCCCGTTTTCATTTCCTGCCATGCAAACATCTCATAAATAAATTACGATAAATAGATTAAAGATGTAATTTGTCGTGGAAATGATATTACATTAACCACGGGTCGTGAACCCTAGCATCATAACGCGAGCCATATTGAATCAGCCCCATGGAAACGTTGAAGGGTTTTACTTGTTATCAAACTATTTGCTCGTCATATAAAAGAATGTATGATAATTTTTCGGTCGTAACCGTGCCTTAACTGGGCGTCGATAGCACGTTGTTTGGCATTTTTACGACCTGTTTAAACAGGGTATTTAACCCTACTTGTCTCTCACATTAGAGACGGGCTATCGCTGCAGATTTCCCTGTTAGCGGCGCTATCTCGTTACGATTTCATTACTCTGTATCTTGGCCAGGCGATCCTCCTTTGAGAACTCGGAGGGTTAGCCAGGCGTTCTCAAGCTTCTAGCCCCTTCTTTAAACACTTTATTATCCTCATTGTGTATCCAATGTTGGACACCGAATATTTACACTACACGGGATTCATTAGGACGTATGTGATCGAATCATCGCACTTTTAGCTTTACTAGTTCTTCGCTTCTTGTAGACTTGAGAATTTGTCGTACGACACGTTTACGATTCCTTTGTAGAGTCCGATACTACTTCATTGTCATCTATGCGAGAAAAATGAAATGCAAGCAGATCATTCTTCATACGGCCGTTTTCAAAATGTACGAACATCGTAAGAAAATTGCAAATTGAATTTTGCATATATCATATTATCTTCGTAGTGTACCTAGATGGGCTAGTCCAGTGAATGCGGAGGTCTATATATGTATAAGTGCCCATGTATATGCGTGACCCCGTCTCTACAGCACCCCTTGTCAATTGCTCATGACATCCGATGTTGATTTAGACAATAGGCGAACAGAGAGGCCTGGAGCAATGATTAATAAATCTTCCTCGGCAACAATTAGCCCTAGTCATCCCCCGCGCACACACACATGTCAATAACTGGGTGGGGGCTAATTTGCTGGCCAATAGGAGATGACCAATGGATCCGAAATCGAGGTTAAACGAATTTGACTGGTTTATAATTGCCGGCGCTCGCCATATGTTATACGGACCGGGAGAGCTGGAGAGGGCGGCGCGCTGACAGCAGGATAGTCAGTTAGCTCCTGTCAATCACCGGTATATCACTGGAACTAACGGTCTGAAGGTGAGGATAGTGTAAGGATGAGGAGCATATACGTCTCCGGTTATACTATTTTCATTTCTTATTTCGCACTCCTTGCGATGTGCTAAGAGATAGTGTCATCTATTTTCTCTAAATACCGTGTGGCATCATTAGCTTTCTTAATGCAGTACTTAGCTTGGTCCATATTTAACCCTAACTACGGTGTTTCACATACAGTGATACCTGCACAAGTAGTGTACTAGGGTTCAGTTAAAGAGACTATGTGTTCGGTGTCCCCTTTTCAATTTTCACCTATCTATCTATAATGTATCGTTATGCGTGGGAACGTAAAATCCTCCTCCGGGGTATCATGGTCTGTGTGCTTTTGCCGCAGGCATTCATTGTAACACATACACACAAGCGACAGACAATATCCTGTATGGTTTTTGGTTAAGTCCAGTGGAGCTTATTTATTGCAAGGCCCTTTTCCTGAACCCTATTGTCCATGCGGAAGGACGTGTTGAATAAATTTGTAATGGTTGTATTATAGCCGGTTAGCGGTATAATCTACCTACGGGATGTACCTATAGGCCGGTATACTACGCACTCCATTCAGCCTTTTTCCTGGGCTTAGAAACTCGAGAAGTGAACCTCTATAATAGCTTTTTATGTGTGTTATCGCGTCTTTTTGAAGGGTAGTGTGTAGGGCATTTCTTAGCGTTTTTATTTCAGGGCACTAGAGATTTACTTTGAACTGATGTCCCTTTGTTGTCGTCTCTTGTCGTCCGAATTAAGGGCAGATTTTGTTTCCGGAAGAAAGGTGTTTAGTTGTATCACGGTGTCCGCTGTAATTTTGTCACGTACCTGTACCATAGTCCGTAGGTGGTCACGTCTGGTGTCGACATAGGTGAAAAGTATAACGTAGTTTTATGTTATTGATCTCCATAAGGAGACACAAGGATGGAGAACGAACAGAGAAGTCCCCAGGAGAGAGACCCGAGCCCCCGCCCGTCGTCCTCGGACCCCCCGCCGGACCCCCCGGGCGCGACCATCGGGCCGAATGCCATCATCCCAGCTGACAAGTCGGACGAAAGGAAGGACGAAACCGACACGGTGCCCGTCCAGGTGACTCAACATACCAACAACCAGGTCAGGACCAAGCATTCCTCGTTTTTTTTACTGAAAACAACTCGTCAATTTTACTTTGTAATTCCACTCCCTTTTGGGTTTGAAATGTTCTGTGTTTCTCTATTTCAATGACAGATTTGTCGGGTATTTTATACCAGTAGTTTGAAACACAAATGAGAACCTTTGCCCCCTCCTGTACAGGTCCGGAGTGTGATGTTGTACGGTGTACCCATCGTGGCGCTGGTTATAGACGGGAAAGAGAGGCTATGCCTGGCGCAGATCTCCAACACCCTACTGAAGGTAATGGTGTGTAAAGTGACTTCTTCCTTCCTGCTATTTCAAGTTACTGGGAGAGCTTTCAATGAGAATTAAAAAGTACCATATACAGAAAATTTTTGATGAAAACTGAAATTGAATATTTGTTAAGGGAAATTTTACTGTGTGATTTGAAGGAGCATTCTTGTCAGTAAAAATGGTGTCATTTTTTCTTTCTTGACAGGGTTACAGCTATAACGAGATCCACAACCGCCGCGTGGCCCTGGGCATCACCTGTGTTCAGTGCACGCCTGTGCAGCTGGAGATCCTGCGGCGGGCCGGGGCCATGCCCATCTCCTCCCGCCGCTGCGGCATGATCACCAAGCGGGAGGCCGACCGGCTCTGCAAGTCCTTCCTGGGCGACATCAGCCCGCCCAAACTCCCGGAGAACTTCGCCTTCGACGTCTACCACGAGTGTTCGTGGGGCTGCCGGGGGAGCTTCTACCCCTCCCGCTACAACAGTTCCCGCGCCAAGTGCGTCAAGTGTGGCTACTGTAACGTCTTCTTCTCCCCGAACAAGTTCATCTTCCACTCGCACCGCATGTCGGAGTCCAAGTATCAGCACCCGGACGCCGCCAACTTTAACTCCTGGCGACGGCACATGAAACTGGCCGCGGACAAGCCGTCCGAGGACCTGGTCTTTGCCTGGGAGGACGTCAAGGCCATGTTCAACGGCGGCAACAGGAAAAGGGTTTCGTCCAGCCATTCCCCGCACAACGTAGAAGCCGCCAAGAAGCGCAGGTTGGAGCAGGAGTCCCACATGGGAGAGCTCCCGCACCCCAGTCCTGCCGTCCCGTCGTTCCCCGTCGTACCGGTACCGAACAGGTCTTACAGCCTACAGCTCCAGTCCCTGCCGAGCAACATGAACATTCCCCACACCGTCGGCACCCACCCCTCCCTCACGCCCGGGGTCCCCACCGTCAGTCGACTGTCCGCCGCGAACGTCAAGAACGCGTGGGGGCCTAAAACAGACGGGTTCGAGCCGTGGAACCTCCCCTGGTTCAACGGCATGATACCTCCCCCTCTGCTGGCGGCTAAGTCCAGTTTTATCGACCCTCCGCTTGCTGCCACCGACCTCCTGAAGAACCTCCGGCGACCGGACGCCGACAGCTCGAAATGTCTGGCAAAGGAAGGCCCCGACTCCCACGCAAAGAGAGACGACGCGGCTCCGCAAGCAAGAATTACTCTAGGCGAAAACGGAAGAAAACTCCTCTCCCTGATGGAGCAAGAGCAAGAGCACGAGCACACCTCGGCCTTCAGACCTGTTATCAAACACAGTTGTGAGAGTTGTAAAGCCACTCAGTCTTCGGCGTGTGACTGCGTACCATCAGGCAGCACCTCTCACAACCTACACGAATATCCCCCCGCTCAAGCGGCCGCTGAGAACAACAACGGCAGCGGCTACGACGTCGACAGCGACGCGCGGTCCTATCTCAGTGACATCAACGTCACGGACGACTGTATGAGCGACGACGCCAGCGACAAGGACCACCCGAGTGGTCGTCAAACCATCGCGGAGGGAACGCCGCCCTCCCCGGCCTGTGGTGACAATGGCTTCGCCGAGGATAAGACGGAAGCGACAGACCCTAGCACGTTGGAGCCAGCTGTTACAGAGTCGGAACAGATGGAAGATGCTACCACAAGCTCGCACAATGACAACAACGAGTTCAACTCGCATAGCGCGGGGACCAACTCCTCAGCGAGTAGCGAAGGTGGCACGGAAGACCAACCCGAGACAAGAGAAGGCCCAGGTCTGACGCCTCCACACAAGACACCTCCGCCCACCTGCACGGAAACAAAGGAGACCAGGGGAGACTCTCCAACAAGCGCCCAGGTATTTGCTAGATTTCTATTGATAAAACAGTGCCTGACTATATTTATGCATGCCCAAGAAAGTGTACATTCCGCAATGATACGTTATTTTACAACCGAATACCAGTTTTCGGATTAAACTTCTTCAAATATACCTGATCAATCTAATAACGAAAACTATGCTGTTTTATAACTTTGTGTTTCAAGTATTGTGTTAGACATTCGACTATTAACTAAACATGAAGCATTTTAGTAACGTAAGGTATCATGATGAAGAAAGTTACTGTGAGGGTGTCTGGGTTACCTTGGTAACGTTAACCACATTATCAACAAGACGTGTCATTCTACCAATCAGATCGCAGCATTTTGGAACGAGAGGAACATTATCTACAAGTTATGACCTGAAGAAGATTTAAACACACAGAGTTGACGTCCTATTACCCTTTTAGAATACATTTTGTATCCATCTTGATAGCAAATGCGTTAGTCCATCAATCATGAAATATTATCATGTCATGATCTGAACGGTGGGTGATTTAAATGAGCAGATAGGGCGAGCCTAGAATCGTATTTTCAAAATTACTCATAGTTTCACGGCGTTCTTTAGATTACAAAGAAGCGATACGCTATACACTGTGGTTTGATATACATCTGAGATAGGAGCGCCAGAAAACGCACCGTGAACGTTTAAACGATAAATGGAATTGAATGATTGATCCATAAATTTTATATTCTACTATAATTCTTGTTTATCAACTTGTCGTCTCTCCATTTTTTTCATGTTTTTTCCTTGTCGTTTCTTTTTAGTACCAACATCACAGTAATAAAGTTTTTAATATATCATCTGGCACTATTAATCACTCATTGACAATGTCACAGTCACATTAGTTGTACGATGGGTTAATAAATTGAAGATATTCCTTGGGTAACTGAGGAAGTGTTGTACAAAATTCAGCTCTCTGGTGATGGAAAAGGTCCGCGAAGATCCTTGTCTTAGCCCCGCTCAAAGTCCAACGACGAAAATATCGTAATCGTGCCATACATGAATGTGACTGTCTTTGCCTTTAGAAGTATGGTCGTCACAATGCATATGTCGCACTCGAAGTCCAGTTCTTGTTGCGAAACATGCAATTCTTTCACACATGGGTATTTAGAGACCTGTATAGCGTGGTATGATCATTTCATTTCAACACGTCAGTCACTTAACGTTATTTTATCCAATTCTATTAACTGTGAGATGAGTCTGAATTATACATGACACTTTGGATGGTAAATATTAATTTCGTAACAAGCTCTAATGTATCATCATACCTAAGTTGAGTACCGTATACCCGACAAATTATCATGTCTGAAAGCTAAAGTATTTTCGAGGCTATTGTAAGACATCTGGGATCTCAAAGCTTCTCAAGTTATGAACATAGCCGTCTTGGAGAACTGTTGGCTGTACTGGCTAACCTGACAGGTGTTCGCCCTGGCGAGGCTTGCGTGTGTGTATCTAAGACAGCCTTAAGACACGCTATTATCCAGAGTCTTAATCATGGATAAGGTTGTCATTCCTCATCAGATGAACGTTCATTATTAATTCAGACCCGTCTGTTGTTTGAATCCACGGCTCGTGCGAAGACCAAGTGGCAATAAATTTTAATGGACGGATCGGTTTTTATTTACTCAGGAAAGGTGGATGAAATACAAACCGGGAGGTATAAATGATTCATGCCCGCTGTGATGTTTTATTGAACACGTGAGATCAGTATCTTTACTGACTACATGCGGTAAAACCGGGAAATTAATCCGGGGCGATATTTTACACCGTCGGTGTGTCAGGAACAGAGCTGAGATAATACCCCTGGCAAAGAAGATTAGATTGACAACACCACACGTCATTTTCACCTTCATCATCACAAACACACACAGGTGTCCTGGAAATGTGCTTCCCTTCAACGCGGCTGGGTGGCGACTTGCGTCGCACGATAGGTTCGCGACAGCAAAGTGACCTAAGCATTCTTGATACAGTCGTAAATGTGTCGTACGAAATTCAACTGTCTGGAGACGATAAAAAATCGTACATCCTTGTCGACCTAGGTTCTGTCAAACTCTCAACGACGGTCCTGCGACAAAAGAAAATCGTACAACAATGTCACATGTAGTCACATGAGTATCTTGTGTTCTTTCATACAAAACTCAAGTTCCAAAGAGCAATATTTGTCATATGCGCGTTCTTTTCCCAACAGAGAAAGCCATAATCTACAACACCAGGTTTATTTTGTTTTGTGTGCGTATTGCTACAGAATAAGCAGCCAGAGGCGTCCAGTCTGCCCTACTCGGTGGGACAACTGTTGTGCGCCAGCCCCAAATCTAAGGACTCCGGGAGAAAAGACTCCCTGCCGGACGGTGCAGCCGGGGTGACTCTGGACAGGAACTCAACTGTATCCGCCAGTCCCTCAGGTACTTAAAACTCTCTTCCGTTCATGTAATAGATCAGGATGTAGACTAGTTCTGCACGTACAGGATGAAATGAAGACCCAAGAGTGGCGTTGACGTTGTTATCTAATTACATATGGACTTACAGACGTTTCCCACGTTGTCAGAGTCTCGAAACGGGGTCATGGTTGATAGGGGATCTGAAAACTGAGTCTAAGTCTGATAAGCATTGTCACTTTGACGGTTAAGTCTGGGAAGTTTCGTGTTATACCATCTTTGTGTTCCTAGACTCAAGCAATATTTTGTTGTACTAAAAATACTGTTCCTTGAACACAGGCGATGACAATGTGTACTAGTACATGTGTACTTCATATCATGTGTCTTCCGTGTTCCAAATTCTAGTGCCACCATACCAACTCGGTCGCCCTTCCTCTTCTACTGCATAACTAGGAATTTGGAGTTCACTTCAGCAAATCTATGATATTTCAAGGCAGCCACAAATATGTCATGTACGAAAACAAACTGTCCTGTGCCGAAACAGTGTATCGTAGAGCCTTGTCGACGTTGATTTTGCCATAGCTTTAGGTGTATAGTTCTATTCCGTGCAAGGTCAGGGGGAGCGTTTGGGTCTTAATGACTTTACCTGGTCGGCTAACGCGTCAAAAGCAAGCAAGAAAGAATGTCATTTTGCTGATGGATCATCTATTGAATAACTAAACACATATGGATCTACATTATTCATAGGGAGAGTGAACAATGACAAGAACTTATTTAAGGCAAGAGGAGAAATGGTGTTCTGTACCTAACGCAGATGGCAGCAAGATAGGGTACATGTGGACTGTCAAATGTATGTCTTATAAAGTCCTATGTACAATCAACACGTTTAGTATTTACAATTTCACAGGCAAGGTTTATTCTTTTTCATTTCCAGACGAATCTGACAATCATGAGTTTGAAGACATCCGACGCCAGTTGGCAACTATGACAAAAGGTAACAAAAGTGTCCATAAGTCTATGTCAAGTTACATATGATGTAACATGTATATTGAAGTAAAGTTTGTAGGTGACACCTCTATCGCTTTTAGAGTGGTGCCAGGATTCTTGATCACGTGCACTGCCCTTTTTTAAGACATTTCTTCTTGTTCGCATATTTGAATACTTGTATTTTCTCCAACAGAGGAACTTGAGAGAGAACTTTCAAGACAGAGGGAGGCAAGGCAGCGAATAGAGAAGGAATATCGTATCTTACAAGGTATCTCACTTAATAAAATCTAACGTTAACGTTAATATTAATGATAATGATCATTGCTTTGCATAGGCAGGTCTAAGTAGATAGAAATGGATGGCCTTCCTGTAACAATTGTTTGGTCGTAAAAATGTGCTATCTTTTTATGTTTGGCCAAACGATTTATGTTCTATTGTGTTGTATTATGACACTAGCAACTGGCCGAATAATGTAAAACTCTAAACTGTGGACATCTGATAACAATGAACGTAATCTTAGACGACTGAAATTGGCCCCATGTGACATATACTTTCATACGTTTTGAATCAGGAGTAGAATTTTATTTTTTAATATTCATTTAACTTTCATATGTCTGTTTGAAGATTTCTGGTTTATATATCTGCTAGTTGTGTACTGAGGCAGCACGTATCATTTGTGGGGTTGACTGATAACCGTTTGTTTCTGTTGCTGTTTTCCACAGACACTTTCCAAGAACAGGTCAAGCGCGAGCTGACATACAGACAAGAGATGGTGGAACAGATCCGTCTCATTCGAGGTAAACAAACAAACAAACAAAAACGAATCAACTAACTAGCAATCTGGTATGTCTTGCATGGCAGCTTTGTATTAATTGAGAGCCTCCCCTTTATTTAGTCTGCTGACTTGGTTTCTGACAAAAGTTCACTCCCCCCAATATAGTATTTTGTTTTCCTTCATTGTCCATTTGAATGAAATGCCGTTAGATTTGACTGACGTCTTGCCGTTCCGTCACAGATACGCTGTGTCAGGAGCTGGACCAGGAGAGGAGAGCACGGCTGGCTGTGCAACAAAAACTCAAAGGTCAGTGACCTTTCCCTGTGCTATAGTTGCCTGTGTAACACTACAGGGTGTTAGCACATGACGTCATAGCTACCATGTTGGTTGGATAGACCTAGAAGAGGCAGACCTATAGAATTTCATGTTAATGTGTCACAATATTACTTACGTGACTGTGATTACATATACTACTTCAAATGTACCTAGTAATCTCTAGGTTTAACCATCCAACATGGTGATCAATAATTACGTCATAGTCACGTGGGTGCAAACACCGAATGGAAAACGTCTTGTTCTGAAACAAGCGAAATTTTCCTATATTTGCTACTCTTCTGTGGTTTTCATTACTTTGTGAATTGCTTACATGTTTTTATTTTCTATCTTTGTTGAAAACGCGGAATGGGAAAACAGTTGACTTCATTTATCATTATAATTATTGCAATTACTGTCATTGGAAATTATATTGTATTGTATTGTAGTAGGCTAGCCGTCAATTTAGCTAATAGCACAGTAAACCCAATATTGCTTTATCATCGCAAACCCTCGGAAGAAATCAAGAAGGTTTCAGAGGGACAATATGAAATTGTTCAAACATGACATGACCTTCTGGCTGCCAAATATGTATGGAAATCAAATCAAAGCCTTGGCTCCTGTACCATTCTTCTGAGCTGACAGAAATGATGATATGACGTTTGTCGTTTGACTGTCTGGCATTATCTGCTTACTAGTCTGTTACTGACAGACATGACCAATACTCCGATTGACACGTCCTCGGTTGAACCGAGTTATCAATAAACCCGAGCACGCACTGTGGTCAGGACCGGCTATGAGACGACCGGCCGGAGCACAGAAGCTAAACTAGATTTGACAGAGTCAATATACGGCAAGGTTGATATAACAGAGCTGTCAGGTGATGAGACGGTCACCAGTTCACGCACTCACGCTATACAACTGCAACAGGTCGGATGGAAGGGTCGTTCAGTACGTCTAGGTCTTTTTTATTTGAGGCCTTAACGTATGATTTGTGTTTGTTTGCTTGGTTGATTTCTAATCTATTATTTTATGTCATTATTTACTATTCATTTTGATATGAGTTACAGTATATTCCTTAGACATGGCCCCCAATCACCATTTGTATGCTAAGTTATGATGTATCTATGATTTTCCTACCTATGTCACCTGTACTTTGATTTATGTAATTATTTGTTATTTACTACCTGCGTTATGGTGGGATCCCGTGGAAATCAGTCTACATGAGTGTTGGGACCTTGTTTATATCTAAGATGAATGAAATGAATAAACAAATAAACAGGGGAAAAAGCTGTATAACGCATTTTTAACGGCGTTGTTCAATGCAAAAAGCCAAAGGACCACTTCTAGGCATAGAGCTAGGAGACACGACAGACGTATGACTAAGCCAAAACATGGCGGTGAATGTTTATTTTGAAAGCTGTGAGGATTGTATTCGGCTTGTATTTTGGTGCATGATTATGAACTATATATATAGTGTATAGTTATGCCCCGAAACGCGCGTTATGCCACATCCTTCTTGGGAAGGTTCCCATTTTCTGAACAGTACCATCTAAGGTCTAAGTAACATAGACCGATCCAGGGTCTTGTTGGTATAACCTAGGACAACTATACAGGCGTCTGTGTCGTCTTAAGGACACGAAGGTCACAGGAAATGAAGTTGAGGTCTCTGAGTTTCGTCTTTCTAAGTTTGCTTACCTTTCAGGCCATGCAATGTCGCCCGAAACGTTCGGAAGTATTCAAGCTCTGTAATTTTATCCAGTTGTATGGAGAGATTTTAATTTGTCTAATAGGACCTGATTTGTGGGTGATTAGGACCTGGTTACATTTGTCGTACGATAGAATTACGACAACAAGCCGATGACGGCATTTTTGGGGACAGTTGTGGATGATATAGTTGTGGATTCGAATGTTTTGTTTATCTGACGGAGAAGGTTGAGGAAGATCCTTGTTGGCGGTACGGTTATTGCCGATGCTACGATGAAAGTGACTGTGTCTCATCCAGTACCTGAATGTCTATAATCAAATAATCAAATCTTTACTCTAATCGTAACTGAATATATTTTTTTTCCACACACAGAGGCCCACGACGCGCTACACCACTTCTCGTGCAAGATGCTGGCATCTCAACATTGCAACGAATGCAGCGACAAGTAAACATCACATCAAGTGCATCATCATCCATAAACGCACGGTTGTGTAGTCTTTAAATAGTTCATTCACATGTTCGTGACTGCTCAGTAAAAATGTCACAACTGTTAGCCTGGAAGTTGAACAAGAGTAAGGCTAGTGAAATTCCTCTCGAGTAAAAATAACGACTCAGTCTAACAATTGTACAGCAAATGTACAGTGTGTATATTTTGAGTTGAGTTTTACTGTACACAGTGAGAGGGTCCATTCGCAATTGGCATAAGTCCAAACAGACTGTATTGTAAATTGTGGATTCTTTGGTGAATTAAGCATGTGCATCACGAGTGTATGTAGACTGAGGACGTGAAAACATGTACAGTCAAACCTGTCTGTTGTGACCACTATAAGAGCTATGACCACTATAGACAGGATTCTTCATGCTTCGATCAATGCAAAAAAATTATTTCATTTCCCTTTCTGCTTAAATTGGATTTGTATGACCTATGATTTCTATCAATTTAATATGATGTAAAATAAGATTTACTACAAAATACACAAAATTTACAAAATGCACTTCTTTTTCATATATATCATCAGTTGCTCAATGGTCGTTCAACGGCCGTCTCCTCAGTAGAAGTGGTCACGAGTGCAGGTTTGAATGACTTACGACAATCGGCAAAAATGAAACACCGTGATGATATCATAGGGATCTCTCACAGCGGTTCTTATTCTGTACAGAGTATCGTCCATTTTACCAGCCTCTACCGCTGTCCTCGTGACTGGACTCTATGTTGGCTTATCATGTACCGTTTTCTGATTGTAGATCACTTCTATGATTGCCTTTTAGCTACCAGGTGTCTGAGAGCCGTCCGGCCTGGCCTGCTATGTAGGTTCGGCGGCGCTGTGTCCTCTCCCCGCCAGATTGCCATCTATCTAACGCACCCGGTCATTGCATTTGGAATAAATGTAGTATTTATGGTCGTGATCCCGTGTACATTAAGTGGTCGTTATCGATTGGACCCAGGGCTTTTACGAAGCGTGGATGGTGCAATATCCTGATATTAAAGTCAAATGTATTGATTAACCCCCCGTTAAGAGGTACTTATGGAATAATAAAGTTGTACCCTGGATCATTATGGTAAAATTAGTTTAGTTGGGACCTGCAGTATCGAGTTAGATGCATATTAAATGTTTCTGCTCCTTGCCTAAATGCTCTCCCAACCTAAGTGGTGAAATAATCCAATCATAGCAGCGTCATAGCTATGCTATGCTGATGGGTCTACATGGCACCAATTAAGGCGATCAAAAATAACTGCATTGGCGCCCGGAGAAAGAAACTAAATAGCCATTATAAAGTAATCAAAGCAGTTAGCAACTTTGCAGAAGTACTTGCAGTGGATAAAGTTGCGACAAAACTATACAGGTAATTCTGGACTTGTGAATGGATGAATAGAGCGAGGGAGTGGGGGCAGGATGAACAATGGATGGATGGATGGATGGATGGAAGATGAATAGATGGAAGGAAAGAAATAGAGTAAAAGGAATAAGGTTGAATGATAGAGTGAGAGATTGCTGGTATATCGAAGCATGGATGGATGGATGGATGGATGAATAGAAGGAAGGAAAGAAAAAATGAAAGTGAAAGAAAAAAGGTAAGGTTGCATGATAGAGTGCTGGTATATCGAGCATCCATAGCTATGCAGCGATTTTCTCCCCTTAAAATTGCTCAACGACAGTGAATTACACACATGTAACCGTGGTGTGGGGTTCTCTCACTAGCCCAGGTCCCGACACGAAATTACCAACTGTCCAACTCGTTTAATCTCTCGTTGCCCAGTTTTATTCGGTGCAGGTGTCGGGCGCGTTACTTTCTGTTCTGGTTACGTGAAAGTCTGGGTAGGGTCGCGGCTACAGAACGTTCACGGCCGGCGTGCTAATCTCCCAGGGATAAACCGTCAAACGGAAACCATCAAAGAAGCATCAAGGGCTTGGAAAGTGATACCAGCATTTGCAATCAATAGGGGCAGACAAAGCAGACCGGGCATATGCAAGAGATTTGAGGAGAGCCGCCCGGAGAGTAGCCCCGTCTCAGAAGGACCGGACGATGACAGACAAGACCTTGCACCTGTGCAAAGCACCAACACTCGGGAATTAGGAGGACTGTTTTTATACCGTTTTCTTGTGTACTTTACAAAACAACTATCACTTAACTCCACTAGAGTGTAACAAACTCTTTGGGTTACTGGAAACTATAGAAATTGATTTAAAAATCTACAAATCTGCCAGGATTGCCTACGTGTAACTATGTTTTTTCATCAAAGCGGATAGTCTGGTAGAGTCTATAAAACATTTCCAAAAAATGGATGTCTATGTTGTCACCACCTCGACGTGGCTTTGTCATTATATGATTGCTATTTGTGTATGTTCATGTATTTTTGGGATAAGACAATCTTATATAGAATATATATCATATAAGCATTTATTGTTCTGGTGCCTTGTTTTTGTTGTTTGGTTGGCTTCTACTTCGAACCCTATCTCAAAAAGTAATGATCTATTCCTCGACAGGGAAAGGCTATTCCTCCAATTAAAAGCTGCATTTTACAAACAATTTTTTTACCTGGCATCAACGCTACGATTTAGCGAATTTCAGTCTGTAGGTTTTTTTGAGGATGCTTAAAGCTTCCCCCAAATTATCTGCCTTTTGGAAAGATATGTTTCAGATGAGATGTCTAACATTAGCTCTAAGAGGGCATTAAACTAAGGGCAAAGGGAGCATTCTGCAACGTTCATGCATAAAACGTTTCTGACAAACCGAAAATCCAATGATTCCATGGCTGTTGTAAACGCATGTTAGCAGTGCTTCATCTTATAACTTTTAACCGTTGCACCCAACCTCCACATAAGACCGATATACCATCTATAGCGGTTCAGGAGAAAGAAAATTAACAGCTCAGTTCTATCTGTTCCAGTTGGACACTGTGGCTGATGTGGTACCTAATCACACGCAAGGTGATGGCCCTGCCCTCTGATTACTTTTACACACTGAAGCATTATACTGACCTTAATTACAATTTCATCTGGCCTTGTTTCATCTCGTCTGGCCAACACCAATACAAGAAGGTAAGTTCAATATAGGACTAGTTACGGGCGAATCTGGGTCGTCCGTTTTGACCTAAATTTTCCTACTCTTTTCGTAAGTACGTACAACGTCTTAATTTTACGACAGGAAATCGGACAGTCGTGCGTGATTATGTCGTACAAAATTCACCTGTCTTCTGACGGAAAATGTTGCCATAGATTCCAATTCCGTAATAGTCTCACTGAAAATTCTACCGCAAAAAAAAATCCTAAGGATAATTTTTGCGACTGTACTTGAAAGAAGAAAGACAATGCCATGAAAAAAAGTAATATCAGAGGATGGTTTCTCTGAATTTTTCTTGCTACAATATGTTGGTCATTTGCCTGTCAGTTAGATACAAGTCAACATGTCTCGTGATGTATTTTTCTCGGTTAGTACACTCAAAGGTTCTGACATCAGTGGTTGTACAAGTGTAGCTCTTGACTATCCCAATATCGACCAGCCCTTTACTTTAATGGCCAAACTATGACGTATAGGGTACAAGTTTTTTCGACAGTTTTTGGAACACATCCACCCAATAATGAAATCAAAGGTTGCTAAGGTATGGAGATATCATATTTAGATAAGGCATTGGCCGGAATATCATAAATATGAAGTTGACTGATCCCCAAGATCGATAGTCACGGTCTATAGCATAAAATGGCCATCATGAAATGATGTGGAGGCCGAAAAGTAAGTATCATGTTTTCCCGTTCAATATCTTTTACGGTTAGCTGCGCTCAAATCGTTTCCCTGCGGTGATGTTCCCCTTGTATTTCTAATCTGTCATATGTTCAATAGGTGTCATCCAAATCTGTGGTGGTGCTCGCAGCAACGTTTTGTATCACTCGTGATCACTGCTTGCCTTCCCCGTATAGCTGTAATCATAACGTCGTTACTGCGTAGTTATCCTACTGTAAAGACACAATAGAAGGAATAATCAAGCCGTTAGATTCTCTCGCACTATTGTAATGTTATGCGCAATAATGTTCAAATTTGCTTCTCGCTGGGAGCCTTGATAACATAGACAGCACGCGACGCTTGAATGCGGTTATTGCTGATTGTATCTGGGGAGAAATATGGCGAGCGCTATAGTGGCTACGGAGCGATTTAGAACAAATCTGCAGTGATCTCAATTTTGCTTAACGGCTCTGGGTGTATCGCGTACTGTAAAATTGCTCTTCTTTTAGATCCAAAATCGATTTTAGCTGACGCCTAGCGGGAACAATGTTTCTCTGACAAGTGGAGGTCAGCGGGGTTACCAGTCTAGAGAAGGGGGGTTGGTGTGGACTGTGGTGCGATGGTAGGGTTGCCAGTTTTACAAGAATAGATAACATGCAAGCAACACATCTTCTATGAAGGAATCTCTATTAAATATTCTTGCCCAGATGGGCTATATGCACAAAGTGACCAAATGTGTTCTAGAGGATATAACGACATGGAGTATTGAACACTGAAACGCTACATTCTAATGCTAAGTGCTAACAATCTATGTTACATCAATACTATATATTATCTACCATCTACTGTTAGTCGCCGTTTAATTGTCTTCTCTCTTTTTTTGAAACATCTGGAAACATAATTTGTGCCACTATACGTTCATTCCTGCAAGACATCAAGTATTTGAAAGTGTACTGCTTTCACATATTCTTACATATCTTATTTAATAATTTGCTGGCTCGGCGAATATTCACGGTTACACACAGTTTGTTCTTTATTCATCAAAAGGGAGTATGGAGCACGGGTATCTGTCGTCATTTACATACTTAATCAACTTTAACTGTCATTCCCACTGCACTACTGCACTATGTATACGACGCGCAGCAGTACCGTAATCAAACGTTTGGTATAAATTATGGCCGTTTCGTAGTTTATATGTACAGTAGGTTTTATCTAATGCGGATCCGTCGATCGTTCTTAACTGCTTACGGTAGCTTAAAGTGTAAGGGAGTTGTTTTAGTTTTCACTGGAAGAGATACATAAATGTAGATCATATCTTCGATCAAGTAGTTTTACAAATACAATAGATAGCCTTGCCTACTTCAGTTCTATTGAATGACAGTGAACTACAGAAAGATAGCATAGAGTGAAAGGAATACGGTTATACAAATTCAAGCCACCGTACATATCTATAACGGTACGATG